GCCTCCAGTGAGGCAAGGTCTAGCTTGGATGACATCAGGACGTCGCTCCGCTGGAACTCCCAGGAGCTCACGAAAGTGGCGAAGGTAGCGCAAATGGCTCAGCACCCAAGGAAGCGAGGTAGGAGGCGGGTAGGAGATTGGAGGCAGGAGGGAGGCGGAGTCGGAAAACCAAAATTACAAACAACTGAAATACCAATCCACCGAATAATGAAAAACGTACCCAAGTGGCAACATCAACAGGTCCATCTGAAACGAATCAGTATTCGAAAATGGCATGCGATCCTGCGTGAAAGCTGCGTATCAAGCCTATGCGTTGCACGCCCCAGAAGCCCTCTATAGAAGGCAATACCGAAAGAAAGAAAGAAAACGGAGGGGAAATTCGGAAGATCGACGACGACGACGACGAAGACGACGACGGCGACGACACGGAGAGAGGAGATTGCGAAATTAGGGGAAACACAAGATGGGTGCGGACGGCGACAATGACAAGGCGGAGGCAGAGGAAGGCATGGAGGGAAGGAGGAAGGGGATACGATCGACGCCGACGGAGAGGCTCCGACACCTGAGCCGTGCAAGAAGGCGTTCGGGGGCCAGGGCTGATAGTCAACTCCTGGGACCCTCCCCGGCACCGCTTAGTGCGGGCACTGGGCCCGCGTCGGACACCCTGCCGCGAGCCCCCCCCCGGCGGGCGCGGCGAAGTGGCGACGGCTGCACGCCTAGCTGCACCCACCCACCCACCCCTGGACCTGCGGAAGGACACCACTCTGCCAGCCCGCCCCCCCAGCGGGCGCAGCACAGCCGCGACAGCTGCGCGCCCGGCATGGGAAGGGGAACGCTTGGGGGGGAGCACCCGCTCAGGAGGGGAAGCATCGAGCTGGAATCGGCGACGCGGCGACTCCGATCGCTCCAGGGCGCGGTGGGCTCTCGGGCCCATTCCGCAACGAATGGGCGACCGAAGGCCCACTCCCCCCCCCCCTCCCCAAAATTGCCCCTGAGCCAGGCAGACCGCCCGCGTGAACGGCCACACCGTGAGCGGCGTCTTCTTGAAATAGGGGCCGCGCCCGAAGCCCTACTCGCTGGGGGGCGCGCCCGTCTGGCTGGCTGAGAGGTGGGCGGATCTGGCTGGCCAGGAGGGATACAGGCGCAGCTGGCTGGGAAGCGCTCGTCCCGGGCTCGCCCCCAGACCCCACCCTTCACCCTCCACTGATATGACTGAAACGCGCTTGAACGACACTTCTGGCATGTGTTAATACAGCATTACCGCCTCAAAAAACAGGGGTCCTCAGAGAATCGAGAGACGACTTTTCTCACACGGTGCACGCGCGCGCGCAGCGGCGCTGCCCTGCGGCCGGGCCGCGGCTCCCGGCCGAGGGCGGACAGGACGGGCGACTGCGCCTCTGGTGGAGGACTGCAGGGCGTGGCGCGGAGAAAGAGAGAGAGAGAGAGAGACCCCGACATCCGCCGATCTGACTGGTTCCGTCCGCGGCCCCTGACTCTCCACCTTCCACACCTTCCGACCAGCAGGCGGCTGAGTCAGTGTGCCGAAATGGGGCGGCAGTGCCGTGCGAACCCTCCCGCTGGGGCCTTCGGTGGAGCTCCCCACGGGGCCACAAAGCGTGTGAGGGGTGTGACAACATGGTTGACTGGTGCGGAGAGCAGAGGCCGGGATGAGAGGAGGGAGGACAGGGAGCTGCAAACGTAAACTTTCCGAGCCCCGCGCGGACTTCTGGGATCTCTGCTGGACCCCCTCCCTGGCGCGCGGAGGGCGCCCTGGCGGCCCGAGGCGCCGCCAGGGAGGTCCAGCGCCGATCCAAGAAAAAATCCGCGCGGGGCTCGGAAAGTTGATGTTTATGCAGTCTCGTGTCCCTCGAGAAGATCACTAACTCAGCCGCCTGCTGGTCGGAAGGTATGGAAGGTGGCGAGTCAGGGGAACTCTCGACTGCTCCTCTGGGGGCGCTCTGTTCGCCCCGGGACCATGTTTTTTTATGGCCCCGGGGCCCGAAGGGGGCCGAAGTCCATGAGAACACGCACGAGCGGAAGAGATCAATCACGTCGTCGGGGAGATCTGGGGGGGAGAGAGAGCCGCCTCGCCCCAGGGACCGCGCACTGTGGCGCGGCGGCCCTGGCCCGGCCACTGTAGAGAAGGGGCGTGGCCCTTCAGGCCCGGGCCCGGCCTCGCCACGAGTTTTCCAGGCAGCCTGCCGGGGAGCCAAGAGGCGCCAGCGGGCGAGGGCGCGGGCGACCGACAGCGGCTGGCCTCCCAACGAGCGAGGCCCTCACGACCCTGACGACACTGCCGGTCGGCCCCGTCGCCCACATCTTCAGCCGAGGTGGGCCAACCACCTGCCGGCAGGCAGCCTGGGCGAGTCGTGCGCTAAGCATTCAGAATCGTGACAGCGTCCGCTGCCACTCCAGCCTGATGCAGCATGCTCCCTGCCGCGGCGTTGAAGGCGGCTGGGCCAGAGACCACACACCTGGACAGCGGCCCCAGACATCCTTTTTAGAAGAACACGAGAAAGCAAAACAAAAACGAGGATCTCCCGACCCCACCTTCATGCGGCATCTTCCGAGCCAGAACGATCCGCGAGGGCTCCAGGGCCCGAAACGCGGCGGAAAAAGCATCTGCCATTCTGCCTTTCCACGAGGCCCGAAGGTCAGGGCAGGAGGAGGAGGAGGAGGAGGAGGACGACGGCGGTGGCGGCGGCGGCAGCGGCGGCAACGAGGGCGAACCGGACGAGGAGCGAGGAGGAGACCAAGAACCTGATCGGGCCTCCCAGGTGGCCCAGCTCGGTCTCCAGCAGCGCCCGGGAGAGGCGGGAGCGGACGCACTGTACGTTTTCCGTCCTCGCCAGCCTCGTCCAGCCAGGGGGATTCGGTGGCAACTCATGGGAGCCTCGTCTTTTTGGCTCTTGCGATCGACGCAAGACGACGCCAATCGACGCTAAATCGGCCCTACCTCATCGACTACCAGACGCGAGTCGACGGTAACGCGCTCTTCAGAAAGAACTCTGAGGCCACACAAGGCTCCCATGATTTTGCTACCGAAGGGGGATGATGAGGGAGAGGAAGAATGGGCAGAGGAACATCATGGAGGTTCTGGGCGCCCTGGGGGCTTTCGAAAGAAAATTATGTGGGTTGGGCGCTTCGGGGGCGTCTAGGGTAGAGGAGCAAAAAACAGCATTACAACAAAACAAACATTCGAGGGTCCGCGCGAGTTCTTGAGTCTGCGCTGGATCTCCCTCTCTGGCACGCGGAGCGCGAAGGCACCGCCAGGAGGGACTGAAGCAGATCCAAGACATCCGCGCGGACCTCCTCCAGAAGTTCCTAGAACAGCGCCTGCACTTAGAGTTTCTTACTTGCGCGGTTGGATGGTATCCCATGAGCCTTCCAAGCTCTTGTTGCCGCCCCGTTGCCGCCCGTTGCAGTCCTGGGGATTCGCTGCGTTCCGGCCCGTTGCCGCTTGTGGGGGTGTCCCGAGGCCGGCCATCGCTCGGACGGCCACTCCCTGTGCTTTTTTTCCGGCTTCGTGCGTGGCTTCTTCGCCAGATGACCAGGGATGTTCCTCGATGGCCCTCGCCGAGAGAAAAATGCACACGTCCGAGCGGTGCCAAGAGGAGGATTCGCCACGCTCCAGCCCACTGCCGCCCGTTGCCGCCATCTGGGGATGTCCCGAGGACTCGCCATATGCTCTGGCCAGTTGCCGCCTGCTGCCACCTGTGGAGGAGCCCCCAGGATGAACAGTTGCTCCTTCGACCGCAGAGACGCGCGTGCAACATATGGCCTGCACATGCACGGCTTCTGGATCTGCAGGGCGAGAGCGAACCTCTTCCCCTCTTCCGCTGGAAGCTACGCGGGACGCGCACAGCTTCAATTGGCAGAGAAAGGGCGGGAGAAGGCGGGGCCGGGGCCTGCACATGCACAGCGCCCCAACTTACTGTCGGGAGCCTACGCTGGCAAGCATGTACACTTATGACGTCGACTCTTCCTCGGTAGGAGCTCCCTGGAGGGAGGCGGGACGAGCGGGGGAGAAGCAGGGGGAGGATGCGGAGGAGGACGAGGAAGGGGAGACAGAGGAAGAGGCACAGGAAGAGGAGGCGGAGGGGAGGAGGACGAGGAAGAGGAACAGGGGAAGGAGAAGGAGGCGGGGCAGAGGCGGAGGCGGCCTCGCCAAATCGGCGCCCTCCGCCTCAGGAAAGGGCGCCCTGGCCCTCGCGTCCGGCTCCGTGAGCAGCAGGGTGCACCTCCGCAGCCGGCCCGAGGCGCACCAGCCCCGCAGCTCCTCCGCCAGCAGCACGTCGTCGCTCCGGCACGAGTAGAGCAGGCTCACCGGCTGCGGCAGCACCCGGCCGTCCGGAGGCGCGCCGGGAGAGGGGCTCGGGCGAGGGGCCCAGACCCCCTCGCGCCGGGGAAACAGTACCGAAGGGGCCCTGGGACACACGAATAAATAGACACACGTAGCAGGCTTCCCCAGATTTCCCCATAGTTTCTGGGTTGTCGTCTTCCCCCCCACTTCCCACAGTTTCCCCTATTTTTCTTCGGAGTCGACGATTGATTGTGTCTGTGTGTTTTTTTCCCTCCTGACAAAGCCACCGGACCGTCAACGAAACGGCTCGGGGTGCCAAGCAGGCCCTGGGGGGAAAAGGGTCGGGACTCCCAGCGGCCCCTCCACGCCGTCCCAGAAGGCATCCCGAGAAGCCCCCCCCGTGCTTTCCCAAGAGACCTCCCCCGTGAGAGAGGGAGGAGGGGAAGGAGGGGAGGAGGTCGAGGAGGAAATCAAGAGGACGGTGACGACGACGACGACGACGACGACGACGACGACGACGACGACGACGACGACGACGAAGACGACGAAGACGACGACGACGACGACGACGACGACGACGACGACGAAGACGACGAAGACGACGACGACGACGAAGAAGACGACGACGACGACGACGACGACGACGACGACGACGACGACGGGGCCCTCGCCCTGCCCCCACTCAGCGCGCCGCCGAGCTGTCGCCGGGGCCGGCGAAGCGCAGTATCTGGGAGCCCACCACGATGCCGGTCCCGGCCAGGAGGAGCAGGACGCTGGCTCGGGTGCTGCCAGGAGGGGCCACGGCCCAGGGCGGCCCCGATTGCCACAGTGACAACCTGCCAGACCACCCCAACTCAATCAGAAGACCCGGATTTCGGGTTGGGGGGGGGTAAGGGTTCCACATGTGTTTTTTCTATGTTTCCCGACCCCCCCCCCACTGGAAATCGAGGGTAAATCTGAGCCTTCGGGTTGGGTTGGGGTGGTTTGGTGGGTGGTGACACAGGGCGGCCCAGATTGCCACCAGGGCACCCTCGTCGTCGTCGTCATCGTCGTCATCGTCGTCGTCGTCGCCGCCGCCGTCGTCGTCGTCGTCGTCGTCGTCGTCGGCGACATCGGCCTCTAGGGGCCCAGGAGGGCCGCCGGGGCTCCAGAATCGCACGGGGAGATGGGCGGCACGGTGGGCCAGTATCTCCTCTGACAGCCTCCGACTGGCGGGCTCGAAGGTGGCCTGGTGCCGATCTGTCACGAGGCTGGGCACGTCCAGGGTCTTCATCGGCTGCGAGAGCCTCACCGAGCAGCCGGGATCTTGCCTGCTTGGGGAGGGAGGATTGCCAGCTACGGTAGTGCCCCCCCGCTGGACCTGACCCACCCGTCCTGCACACGGGACGGCTGCATCTACCCTCCTCGCTACCCTCCCGCCTGCCCCCTCCCCTCACACCTCGTACTTCATTGTTCCTACCTCCTCCTCCTCCTCCTCCTCCTCCTCCTCCTCCTCCTCCTCCACCTCCTCCTCCTCCTCCTCCTCTTCCTCCTCTTCGTCCTCCTCCAACATTAACAACAAGCACTGTCAGACTGTTTGGTCTTCGCTGCCCGCGTGTCATTCAACATGTGCACCCCAGAACCTCGATATCCGCCATCTGCGTCTTCGAGCGTACCTCCCTTGCCTGCCACATGCAGTTAACGCAATCTCTACAGTTCGCCGACCCCGTCGGCGTGTGCGAGAGGCTTTTTCTTTTGACTCGTCGTCGTCAACGTCGTCAACGTCGTCGTCGTCGCCGTCGCCGCTCCCCCTGTTCCCTGGGCCCTCCTCCTTAAGCGCGCCAGCCAAAGCGAAACAGCCTAAGCGAAATTGAGCAACGTCATAGTTGAGTCGAAAGGAAGCCCCTTCCCTAGGATCCCTTCCCCGCCCGGGGGGGGTCCCGGGGGGGTCCTGGGGTGGGGTCCTGGGTCAGAATACCATCCCCCCGAGGGCTCCCAGGGCCCAAGAGGCCCCTCAGAGGTCCCCATGAGGCTCGCAGGCGCCCCAGACACCCCAAAAACTTTGCGGGGGTTGTTGGGCACCTCTTGGGGGCCTCGTGTAGCCTCTTGGGCACTCTTGCGAGCGTCTGATCCCCACCTTCCCGACTGCCGCTTCCATCGTGGGGTCGTCGTCCAGGTTCGGCGGCACCGGCCGTAAGGCCTGAGCAATGGGAAGATGAACAGGAGGAGAGAAAAGACAAAGGGAAAGAGAGAGCGAGGAGCACTGACAAGGAAAGAGCGAGTGAGAGAAAGCAAAAATTGAGTAAAGAAAGAGCGAGTGAGGAAAGAGTGAGCGAGGAAGGAGCGAGTGAGGAGTGAGTGGAGGAAGAAAAGAGGAACCAGGAGGAGAGAAAGAGAGAGTGAGGCGAGAAAAGAACAAGGAGCTTTAGCAAATTTTGGCAAGCGGGCCCTGACGGCCAGGTCGGGCGGCGAGCGGGTCGGGCGGGACACCGGAGCGGGCGGGCAGGCTTCAAGCAGGCGAACGGGCGGGCCCTGACGGGCGGGTCGGGCGGGCGGACCCTAAGAGGATGGTCGGGCGGGCGGGCCCGAACGGGCGGGTCGGGCGGGCGGGGCATTGAAGCAAACTCTGCAAGTTGCGAAGAAGCCTCGGGCGACAGCAGGAGTCCCGAGTGAATGGCGGGGTCTCGTGCGAGACCGCGATTCCTAGACGTCGAGGGCGCGGAGCCTGAATCAATTGAACGAGAGCGCGAATCCTGAGTAAGGCGTGAGAAAGTCCCGCAAGACAGCGCAATGTTAGATAGATTGCGGGAGGCATCGGCGGAAGCCAATGTTGCTGCAAATTGGGGGCCAACGACACAGTTTGAGCATCAAGACTTCCCCCGATGAAGACGAGGTGCGAGCCCAGGGGGGCCACCTTGAAGAAGCAGTAGGCACCGCTGATGGGGGGATCGACAAAAATCAGCATGCAGAAATGAGAACTCAACTACAGGTACTGAATTACAGGGACAAGATCTGATGCATGCGTTATGATAACGGTGGAACAGCCCAAGTGGTGGCAATAAAGACACTCGCGCGATGCATGGGTGGCGGTTGGCCCCGGTCCAAGTTGGGACGTGCGCGCGACAACGCCACCCTTCGGCGCCACCAAATTCAAATTTCAAAAAAATGCAAAAATATTTTGTCGGAGCTTCGGTTTTGTTTCCTGGTGGGCGCAAGACCTGATACATGTACGGCAGGTTCGTGACGTGCCGACCCCAGCGTTGGTTTTTGACACCGCAGGGATCGTTCAGCCTTGAACGATCGGCCGCTGCCGCAACGTCCGATCGTTCAACATCGATCGATTCTGGGTCGCCGGCGGCGTTCAACCTTGAACGTCGGCGGCGGGGTCGCCGCCGGTCGACACGACGCGAACCTACCGTACTACTCCTACTCCCCCCCTTCCCCTCGTGGAACGAGCAACCGAACCTGAAACCTGGGCCGGCCACCGCCCCCCCCCACCGACCTGTGCAGCCACGAGGTCGCCAGGCCGTCGCGGTAGATCTTAATGAGGATATCGCACTTGCCTCACCCCAGCTGTCGGCCCTCCCCCCTCCTCCTCCTCCTCCTCCTCCTCCTACGAGAGAGAGAGAGAGAGAGAGCGAGTGAGAGAGCGAGAGAGAGAGGGAGAAGAAGAAAAAAAAAGAGAGAGCGAGAGAGAGAGAGAGAAACAGAGTTTTAGGGCGGGGCTCTGAGAAGATTTACCTCGCGGGAGTTCTGAGAAATCTCATGTGAGAGGAGGGCTTCCTTCTCATCATCACCATCCCCATCATAAGTACACCATCACCACCACAATCACCATCACCATCGTCATCACAACAATCCTCATCATCAGCAGCATATCATCATCGTCATCAGCATCATCAGTATCATCATCAACAACATCATCATCATCATCATCATCATCATCATCATCATCATCGTCCTTCTTGTCATCGTCATCGTCATCATCATCATCATCAGCAGCATCATCATCATCATCAACATCAGCATCAGCATCAGCATCAGCATCACTATCAGATCCACCCTCATCGTCAGCATCAGCATCAGCATCAACTTCAGCGTTATCAGCGTCGTCATCATCATCATCATCAACATAATCAGCATCGCCGCGGTCATCATCGGCAGCATCATCGTCGTCATTAGCATCCCCATCAGAATCATCATCATCAGCAGCATCATCATCAGCATCAGCATCATCCGAAATCATCATCGTCGTCGACGTCGTCATCACCACCATCGTCATCATCATCATCATCATCATGGTCCATGTCATCATGGCGAAGGTAAGCATCAGAAGCAGCGTCGGCATCACTCAGAATCAGCAACATCAACATCAACATCAACATCAGCACCATCATCATCAACATCACTATCATCATCCATAATCGTGACCAATACCACCACCACCACCGTCATCATCACCACCACCCCACCACCACCACCACCAACATCATCATGATCATCATCATCATCATCATCATCATCATCATCATCATCGTCGTCATCGTCATCATCATCAGCATCATCATCGTCGTCGTCATCAGCATCATCATCACCATGAACAACATAAAGACCATCGTTACTATCATCATCCTCATCCTCATCCTCATCATCCTCCTCATCATCATCATCAGAGTGATCATCGTCAACATCATCATCATCATCATCATCATCATCACCATCGTCATCATCAGCATCAGCATCATCATCATCATCGTCATCGTCCCTGATTGTTCTCATCCTCCTCCTCCTCTTCCTCATCATGCTCGTCATCATCATGATCATCATCATCATCATCATTATCACCCTCCTCCTCCTCTGCGTCCCTCCCTCGCTCGCTCAGTTCCCCCTCTGCCAGCTCGAAGGCAGGGCCCACCTTGCTCCCACTCTGCCGCGGTACTGACGGGCGTGTAGTCGCGCTCGACCCAGGGCAAGGGGCCCTCGTTCTGGAGACTGGCGGCGCCACGCAGCACCAGCAAAACCCTGGCCAGGCCAGACCCTAGCGCCCTGGACTGGCCTGCGCGCCCTCCCAGCCCCCAGCTCGGGGCAGATGATCATGCTGATGATGGTGATGCTGATGATGGTGACGCTGATGATGATGCTGCGGATGATTACGACGATGACGATGACGATAAGATGACATTGACGATGACGATGACGATGATGATGATGATGATGATGATGATGATGATGATGATGATGATGATGACGATGATGATGACTATGATGCTCGCCACAATCGCCAAAATCGCCATCATCCTCCTTACCAGCATCAACAGCATCAGCATCATCATTAACAAGATCAATATTATCATCAGTGTCATCATTAATGGAATCAGAATCATCATCATCAGCATCATCATCATCAAGATCATCACCATCATCAGAAACATCATAATCATCATCATCACCAGCACAATCATCATCATCAGTATCAGCAGCAGCAGCAGCAGCAGCAGAATACGCGGAGGCCAAACACGCTGGGCACACAATGTGGGGGGCCAGGCGCTGGAAAGGCCTGCGGCCACATGGCTGTCCGGCTCTCGCCCAGGCCAGCCCCACATCGGGTGCGGCCCAGCCCTCGCCGCTCCGCCGCGGTGTGCGCGAGACGCCCTTCCGCCGCCGCACCCCGGGAGACCCCTTGGGGAAGGGCACATCTGCGGCCCAGCCCACGGGGCGCCAAGTGCGATCCACGTCGCAGGTCGGACGAAAGAGGGACAGCTCCCTCTGGGGCCACGGGACGTGTGAGGGGTGCGCCGACATGGGCACGGTGGCACCATGCGAACCCTGCCACAGGAGCCCTCGGTGGTGCTCCATGAAAGGGGTCAGGGGTATGCTGACACGGGTGCAGTGGAGCCATGCGAACCCTGCCACTGGGGCCTTTGGTTGAGTTCCCTGTGAGGCCACAAGACGTGTGAGCGGTGTCCCGAAATATGCGCGGTGGCACCATGCGAACACTCCCACTGGGGCTTTCGGTGGAGCTCCCTTCGGGGCCGCCCAGCGTGTGAGGGATCATAACGCAAATGACGATGACGCTGATGATGATGATGATGATGATGATGATGATGATGATGATGATGATGATGATGATGATGACGACGACGACGACGACGACGACGACGACGACGACGACGACGACGACGACGACGACGGCGACAACGACGATGGTGGTGATGCTGTGGCCGTTGGTGATAATGGTGATGGTGATGACTATCGTGAAGATGACGGTGATAATGATAATGGTGTTGATGTTGACGGTGATGATGACGATGGTGGTGACGATGGAACTGATGATGGTGGTTATGATGGTCGTGATGATGATGGTTACGGTGATGATGGCGCCGGTGGTGATGATGGTGATGATGACTGGTAATGATAGTAGTAGTGGTATGATGATGGTGGCGATGCAGGTGGTGTTAACAGTGATGGTGATGATGATAATCACGATGGCGGCACTGGCATGGCGATGGTAATGGACATGATGATGCTGCTGGGGGTTATGGTGATCATGACGATGGTGATGATGATAGCGGTGATGATGCTCGTGGTGGTGACAATGATGGTGGTGATGATATGGTGATGGTGATGATGATGATGATGATGATGATGATGGTGATGGTGATGGTGATAGTAATAACGATGACGATGACGATAACGATGATGATGATGATGATGGTGATGATGGTGGTGATGATGACTTTCCCCGTGGGACAAGCGGCAGAGGTGCCGATGCGACGACCGACGGGGGGGCCTTTAAGGAGGCTCAGGCACACCATGTACCCGATGTCCAGGAAACCACCGAACACCCAGCGAAGAAAGCCCTTGGCGTGACGGCGCACACCGTTGCCAGGAAGGTGCACAAGATGAGGCGCACGAAGCACAGCAGCACAAGGAACATGCATACGAACAGTCAGGCGAAGAGGGTACCACACTAGAGACACCCGCGGTGGACTGGACCAACAAAGCTGAAGATCCCAGTCCCAAACGTCAGAAGAGAGCCACCGCCACCGCCCATCTCAAACCACGAAGCAGGCCCACTCCAATCTCACGAAGCAGCTGCCGACAACGACCCAGTTCCAAAATAGTGCCAGAACGCCAGAACGAACATCTCCGTCAGGGCGATCGCCACGAAAAGCCTCAAGGACAGCTCTACCATCGCTATCGTCACGAACGGCCTCACGAACAGCTGCACCAGGGAGATCGCCACGAGCACCCCAATCGTGAGGCAAGTCACGATCAACTTGCCCAGGAAGGACGGCGCGACCGGTGTCACCAAGAAGATTTACAAAGCCAACGGTACCGAACTTCAGGTCTAAGATAGCACTGGTTGCCATGATATGGTCATCCATCATATTGTGAAGGGCAGTCATACCGTCATCATGGGGCTCAGCATGAAAACCCCCATCAGGAAAATCGGCACGGAAAGCTGCGCCAGGGAGATCGCCACGAACAGCCCCGCGAACAATTCTACCACAACGATCGCCACGAACAGCCACACGAATAGTGGCATCAGAAAGATCACCACGGGAAGCTCGATCGAACGTCACGGTCATCTGCCTGCCCCAGGAAGATTAACACGATCCGCGCTATCAGGAAGATCGGCACAAGAGAGGATACCAACCCTGCGGCTTAACATCGCAATGGTTGCCCGAAGACAATCATCCATTATCTGGTGAAGGACAGCCGTACTGCCATCAGGAGGCTCAGCATGAACCTCTGCATCACCACGATCGGCACGAACCCAAGCCGTTGCGCCCAGGTCAAAGAAGAGTTCGGGCGCTTCGACGTTGAAGGGGAAGACAGGGACCTTCGGCAAGCTAGCTGGAAGGCTCCCACCGCCAGTGTGCACTTCACCACCTGCGTCAGAATCATCACATTCACCGTCATGAGGAAAGGCGTGCTGTAGTACGCCTCCAGCGCCAAGAGCATGAACAGGTCGCCGCCGAGATGCCTGAGGGGCGGGTGGTCTGCTTGAACGGCGTGAGGTGGACCACGGATCTCCGCCAGGTTTGTGCCATGGGTCAGGCCCCCGAAGATCAGGAGCATCTGGTCGATCAGAGGGACAGCACTCATGCGGTGGATCAGGCGGATCACGACCATCTCGGGGGTCATCATCATCATCATCATCATCATCATCATCATCATCATCATCATCGTCATCATCATCATCATCATCAGCAGCAGCAGCAGCAGCATCACCATCATCAGCATCATCATCACCATCACCATCATCATCCTCCCAGTCGTCTGCATAAGGTTGATGTCCAAGCTCAAAGCTGCGAATCCGTACGCACACCTCTTGACGCCCATCCGAATGACGATGTCCACGATCAACCGAGGAGCAACGGCTGACCATCTCCCCAATGATGTCGACCATGGCGAGCAGCAGGAACCACGAGGACGGAGAACTGGGCGAGGCCGTGGAGTCCAAGGTCATCTTGATCTTGGTATTCCTGTCCATCTTGGATGATTTCCAGGCGAAATGCGCAGCAGCCCCACACTCCACCCGTCGACGAACCGATTTCAGCCTGGCAGCAACGACCACGGCGGGAGCAGCGCGGGGGGCGCGGACGCGCCCCGCAAGTCACGAGGACAAGCAAGTGCTTGACCAGAATGGCTGATGATGATGCTGATGATGGATGCTGATGCTGATGCTGATGCTGATGTTGGTGCTGGTGCTGGTGCTGATGCTGATGCGGATGCTGATGCTGATGCTGATGCTGATGATGATGATGATGATGATTATGATGATGATGATGATGATGATGATGATGATGATGATGATGATGATGATGATGATGATGATGATGATGATGATGATGATGATGATGATGATGATGATGATGATGATGATGATGATGATGATGATGATGATGATGATGATGATGATGCCGCTGCTGCTGCTGTTGCTGCTGATGATGATGATAATGATGATGATGATGATGATGATGATGATGATGACGACGACGACGACGACGACGACGACGACGACGACGACGACGACGACGACGACGACGACGAGGAGAGAGGAGAGAGGAGGGAGGAGGAGATGAGATGGGGAGGAGAGAGGAGGAGAGGAGGAGCGGGAACGCGGGACGCTGCCGATTTCAATCAAGGACCAATACCACAGGGTGGTTTGTAGAAAAAGGCAGTGCACTCAAGCACTCAACGTGAAGGAAGCGCCTGACCCCGGGGCCCAGGACAACCTCCGAATCCTGAGTCGTTTCGTCGACTGTCCCAGGGCCCCGGGAGGGCCCCGGGAGCCCGGAAACGGCGAAACGCTCAGGACACACTTCCCTCGGGACCCCTCTCGTTCCTGGCGAGGGTGACCTGACCGTCTCTGGGGGTGGTGCACGGCAGCCGATCTCCAGGCCTCAAGCCTCGCTGTTCGCGCCGACGCCGGCCAAGAGGGTCGTGTGCCACGTGCTGTGCTGCGCGCCCCGCTTCCGCTTCTTGGGGAGCGGCGTGCCTCTCGCCTCGTCCTGCGGGCGCGGTCAGCGGCAGGGAGGGAGGGAGGGAGCACAGGACAGGACAGGACAGGACAGGAGAGGACAGGTGCCGACACCGCTCCACGCGCATGCGGGGAGCGCCTCCTGCGGAGGACGGCGTGGGGCAGTACGGTGAGGAGCTTCTGCTTGGCGTGTCGCGGCGGCGGCCCGGGCGACGCGCTGTGCATTGCAAGCGGATAGCGTGTCACTGCGCTTCGCGGGACGGGAGGCTGGGAAAGGCTCGGGACGTTGACGCTTGGAGACGGGGACGCGGTCAGCGTGTCGGGCCTTAGCTTGATGGGCCAGAACTGGCTTCGCTTCACGCCAAGCAAACGGTCCTGTCACATGTGAACCTTGTCGCTCCAAGGAGGGTGGAGGGAGGAGGAGGAGGAGGAGGAGGAGGAGGAGGAGGAGCAGGAGGAGGAGGAAGAGGAGGAGAAGCAGGAGGAGGAAGGGAGGAGGAAGAGGAGGAGGAGGAAGAAGAGAAAGAAGAGGGATGAGGGGGAGGAGGAGGAGGAGGAGGAGGAGGAGGAGGAGGAGGAGGTCGAGCTTGGCCGAAGGAGGAGGAGGAGGAGGAGAAGGAGAAGCAGGATCAGGATCAGGAGCAGGATATGTATTTCTTCTGGGCCTCGCCTGAGATCCCCCTAACGGCGCCCGATCACAGCAGAGGGGGTAGCGGGGGAGGGGGGTCAAAGGACGACGGGGGAGGGCAGAGGGATGAGAAGGCGAAGGATGAGAAGGCGAAGGGACAGACAGAGGCAGGAGGAGAGGAGCCCCAGAGGAGCGGCAGGGACGGAGATGTGCGGGCATCCTCCGACCTGAAGTGGTAGATCGCGCTGTGCCTCGACACCTTGTTAAGGGGTTAGGGGGCCAGGGGGGCTCCTTGAAGACAGGGCGCTTCGCAAACCCTCTCTTGCCAAGCATCTTTGAAGCATCCGATCCCGTCTGGGAAGACCCCTCGCCTTCTACGGAGACCGACCCCTTGGCCCCGCACCCCTTGCCCCGCCGCCAGCCTTCGTCGTGCCCTCCAGATACCACAGGCCGTATTTCTCGATCGGCCGCCTGGCGCCGTCGAGGCCAGGGGCTGTGGCGCAGTCGGCCACGCAGTTCCTCAGCGACGAGGCGACTTCCTTGGCGAGTCTGCGGTCCAGCCTCATCGCCGACACGCGCCGCTGGATGCCGGGGCAGCCGAAGCAGCAGTGGTGCAATAAGGCTGCGGCCACACGGGACCTCCACAACAGACCCAGGTCCTAAGACCCAAGGATCCGGATGGCTTGGGATCCCTGGGGGGAGGCTCGCTGCAAGTACGACAAGCCCAAGGCGGCCCTGGCAAAGTATGAGCGGCCTTCTTGATGCGCGCCCCCACTGTAGTACTCGGCCCCCTTACACGCCCCTCCTCCACTCCTGCCCCTCCTGCCCCTCCTCCTCCGCCTCCGCCTCCTCCTCCGCCTCCTTCTTCTTGTTATTATCAATATTATTATTCGTGTATGCCTTCTTATTACCCGTATTAGTATTACATGTCTGCTTATTAGAAACACGGTTGATAAGAATACTGCTACTAACAACAACAACAACAACAACAACAACAACAACAACAACAACAATTATAATACGAATAAAAATAGAATTAGCATTGTTACCCGTATTACTATGAATAGCCATAACGATAATAATGATAATACGAAAAGTAGCGGCACGAGTATTATTAATAGTATGTGTAGTACTATTACTAATATTCTTGATAGCCGTATTATTCGTTTAATTGCTACTACTACTACTACTACTACTACTACTACTACTACTACTACTACTACTACTACTACTACTACGACTACTACTACTACTACTACTACTACTACTACTACTACTACCACTACTACTACTACTACTACTACTACTCATAAGAATTCGATTACTCGCGATTACTCGCGTTGATAGTCCCATTCGTATGATGATGATTACCTTAATGATTAATATTAGTAGTAGAGGCAGTAGAAGTAGTAGCAGTAGCAGTAGCAGTAGTAGTAGTAGTAATAGTAGTAGTCGTAGTAGTAGTAGTAGTAGTAGTAGTAGTAGTAGTAGTAGTAGTAGTAGTAGTAGTAGTAGGTAGTAGTAGTAGTCGTAGTCGTAGTCGTAGTCGTAGTAGTCGTAGTAGTAGTCGTAGTAGTAGTAGTAGTAGTAGTAGTAGTAGTAGTAGTAGTAGTAGTAGTAGTAGTAGTAGTAGTAGTAGTAGTAGTAGTAGTAGTAGTAGTAGTAGTAGTAGTAGTAGTAGTAGTAGTAGTAGTAGTAGTAGTAGTAGTAGTAGTAGTAGTAGTAGTAGCAATTAGCATTGCTATTGTTATTGTCGCTCGTACGAGTATGAGGAGAAGTGCTGTCCTTAGTAGCACTACTATTATTACTCGCAGCATGAATATGACTGCTTCACTTTTAATACGATGGATATTGTTAGTAGTGGTATTCGTGTGATTGTCATCCTTCTTCTGATCATCATTATGATTACTGTTCTTACGAATTTTATCGTTATTGCTTTTATTTCCCATCTGCCCTCCCTACCCTTCTCCCAACTCCATTCCCCCCCCCCCCTCTGAAGGCCTCCTCCATTTCTCCCTCCCTCCCCCTGCCTCCTCAAAGGGGCCGAATCCCAGCCACCGCTATGGCGTCGGCTGCCCGGAGGATGGCCTCGAGCTCCTCCGACCGCCCGAGCCTGCCCAGGAGCCTCGCGCGCTCCATGGCGACCGCGAGGCTGTCGCCGGACCTGGCCTCGACCTCCGCGACGTGGGACAGCGCCTCCTCCCAGAGCCCCGCGGACGCCATCAGCTGGGACATCTCGAGCTGCAGCTCCAGGCGCTCCCTGCCTGACCGAGACATCACCTGCTCGGGGAAGCCTGCCAGGGCCGCGTTCCACTTGCCTTCCGCCCGGGCCCGACTGCGCACCCTCCTCATCCTGGCATCGGCCAGCTTCCGCGCGAGCCGGGGGTCCTCGAAGCACGGCATGGCTCCTGTGGCTCGCGCAACCACCGCCGCGCTCCTCTCCGCATCGCTGATTCTGGTGCATATCCCTTCTGCTTGTCCCCGGACCACCTCCAGGAGGAGAAGGACGACGAAGACGACGACGAGGACGAGGATGAGGAGGACGAGTGGGGGAGAGGGGGGGAAAGATCGGATTGGATTGAATTGAATTGGATCGCGGCCATCACAAAAGGTGACGACGTAACGACAGGAAGAGGAGGAGGAAGAGGAAGAGGAAGAGGAGGAAGAGGAGCAAGAGGAAGAGGAGGAAGAGAAAGAGGAGGAGGAGGAGGAGGAGGAGGAGGAAGAAGAGCGGAAGGAACACCGACCAATCATTCTATCCCCAGATCACCTCCGCATTCGGTGCCTTGCGGCAGGCCCCCAAGCAGCGAGACGCCTCAACCGTACAGTTTTCGAAGCCCTTTGCCAGCTCCTCGATCTCAAAAAGCACGATCTCGGAGCCCGCACTGCGGCACTTCTTCCCTTGGCACACGCGAATCTTGGCAGAGGGAGAGGACGGGGAACAAGAGGAGTAGGAAGAAGACGATGAGGATGACATCGGGCGATGGCGTCGCAAGCTGCACGCGGCGCTCAACAGACCTGCAATACTCCTCGAGCCTAAACGGCTGTGGGCGCTGAGGGCGCCACTTGTGACGACAACGATGATGGCATCGATTTTCTGATCACGGGAAATGGGCGTCCGAATGCTGCTCGTTCCACAACACCTAGAGTTACTACAAATACTACTACGACTGCTACGACTACTGCTTCCTCCACCTAGCACGACTACAAGCGATACAGCAAATACATCCCATACGAAGAAAAACTACATGCCAATTACCACAACTACGACTACGACTACAAAACAGACTACGACTACGACTACGACTACGACCACGACAACTACAACTACTACTACTACTGCTGCTGCTGCTGCTACTACTGCTACTACTACTACTACTACTACTACTACTACTACTACCACTACTACTACTACTACTACTACTACTACTACTACTACTACTACTACTACTACTACTACTACTACTACTACTACTACTACTACTACTACTACTACTACTACTACTACTACTACTACTACTACTACTACTACTACTACTACTACTACTACTACTACTACTACTACTACTACTACTACTACTACTAACTACTACCTACTACTACTACTACTACTACTACTACTACTACTACTACTACTACTACTACTACTACTACTACGACTACTAAAACTACTAACACTACTACTCCTACTACTACTACTACTACTACTACTACCACTACTACTACTACTACTACTACTACTACTACTACTACTACTACTACTACTACTACTACTACTACTAACTACTACTACCACTACTACTACTAC